AAAATGACTACTGCCTTTTATTGTACTGATTTCTTCCACATGCCTCCGTATCTTTAAAAGGTACCAATATGAGTCTGTTGGTATTTTACAAATATATTTAAATCTAATCAGTTTACTCATTTAAAGCCAGATTAAATGAACTACAAATATTGAATAGGCAAACAACCCTACCTTTGAAATTTTCTTCTTTATTAATAAGGAATGTTCATGTTTCAATGAGCTTTAACTACAATCAAAATCTCTTTCATGCACCGTTTTGCATTTTTAATTAGTTTGTTTACCATCCTCTAGCCTAATCACCATGTTAGGAGATGCTTCTGGGGTTCTTTATTTGCACATGGAATGCAAGAATGTCTGAAAGGAGACTAGATGTAAACTTCTCCTTAATGTACAATGTATATAAAGAGGAAGTAATTTTTCCTCACCTTTGCATAAGCCATAATACTCACTGTGTAATACTCACTCCTTCTTCTAGAGAAGTAAGTCTGTCACTCTAACAAAAGCACCAATTACTGCAGCCTAACTATGGCTCCACATGAAAAGTTAGTTGTCAATACAGTTTACTGCATAAAAAATTCTCCCCGTCAGTTTTTCCACAACTGCAATGGTATTATTCTCTAAGCAAGATTAACTAGGAGTATATTGCTATTTGCATTATAATGGGAGAATCTAGGCCATTAATTTTGTATATCCTCCTCCTTCAAGGAGTTTCAAGATTTCCTACTGAGGTTCAGATCACACCAACATGGCTACACTACTTATTTGTGTATTCCATTTTTGACAATATAAATGACAAACATAGCAGTAATGTCTCTCAACAAAATAGAGACAAATGCTTCTGGAAAAAAGAGGCATGGGTGTTCATTTTAGAAATATGCAGTAATTGCATTGTATTCTCTACTGAGAAGATACAACCATCATCCAGCAAAAGTGAAGTAAATTACCGCTAAGCATTGGGCATGATTATAAATAGTAACAAATCAATTTCAAAACACAAAAAATCCAAATTCCTCAAAACAGTGATATCTTTATTGGGCCAACTGAAAAGCACAAATTACATACTGCAATTTCCAATGCTTCATTGGCATTTTTATCAAGTAAATATGTCAAAAATCATACAGGGAAATAATAAAGATGATGTTAAGCATAACATTTTGTCCCTGATGTTACTCCTGTTGTCAGTCAAGATGGTCCAGAGAGGTATCTATGCAGACAGATGCCACTCTCCTCCTTCATCATGTGGGAATTTGGGGTTTTGTTCTATTTTGCTACATTGCCAACACGTTTAACCCTTAATATGCGGGGTCTAGATCTGAAGAAGCCATCTTCAGAAGTTCAAACATAGCAGAATACAGATGGTATTCTGCATAGTCCTATAAGATTTTTTTTTACAATAAATAAAGGAAACATATATAACACAGAAAAAGTACAAACAAATATTTTAAGTAGATGTTTAAAGTATCAAAAGCACAGGATTCTTCCAATGAGACAAAGAAACATTCAGTGGGCTAAACTTTCAATATGTTATTCAACTGTGACCAAAAGGAGTTAAATTGGAATACAGTGACTTCAAACAAAGCAGACATGGCATCTCATCTAATCTAGATTCCAATACATTACAAACTCAAGAAATAAATCCTAGCTGCCAAGCCTCCATTAGCACAGAGAAATGTTTCTCATTGAATTTCTGGATATTTATCTACTCTGCACATCAAATCTCTATATGAGAGGTCCTCCACCCCATCCAATGCTGTGAAATCAATTAAATAACTGTTTGTGGGTCTTATGAGGGTCTTATTATTAATATGATTCCATATTAATATTAAGCCACTGGGATTATTTCTGGAATATAACAAAACAAGCAACTTCATAAATGCCATGAATTGCAGAGTCCTGGTCTAGAAAGATTGGATTTAGAGCCCCAAATTCCCAATTACAATATGATAAATACCTTCAGGCCTAAATTTTGTGAATAATATAGCTGTTATCTCAACAGCCACTAATTGAAAGTAGATGTCAAATCCTTCCCTCCCCAAACTTCGCAAAGGTTCCCTCTTCCCAGGAACCGCTGAGTACCGCTCGGTTTGGCACGCTCCTAGCCTGTTGGCCAGTCAGGAGGCAGGGCCCTGGCAGCATCTTTGGCTGGGCCCTGCTTAAAAGCAGGCCAGCCCAGTGCAGCTTTTCCAGAGAGGGCCTGGCACCTTTCTAAGAACCTAGCTAATGTTATAAAGGCCAGATCACTAGCAGGAGAAGTGGTGGCCATGGCATAGATGATGGCCTTCCATAAGAGGGTGTCCCTGAGTGCTAATGCCAAATGGGACATCATTAACGATAAAATTTGGTTAACGGAGGTGGGCTCATTCACCACCTGTCTTTCCCAAAGGGGAAATCAGTCAATGATGCTATACCCCCAATGCTGTGTTCAGGTAAATATGCCTTTTGATCATGCGGTCAACTTGGTACAAGCTTGTTGCTCTCATGCCTTGTAGCCAAATGCAACATTCAGTCAACCTTTAGGCTACTCTCAGTGGACTTCAACCTCCTTGGCTTCTAATCTGATTGACAACCACTGATATTTTGATAAGGCCATGCCTGTGGGTAGTGCTGTAAGCCATATTTGCAAATAGTAGTCTCTCTGTCTCTGAGGCAAATCAGTACATTGTAACCAATAAACAAGTTGTGACCTTGGTTATTCCAACTTCTCAGGAACTGTTTCTTTGGGCAGGCATAGGAGGTGAGAGGTCACCATTACCCAGGCAATACAAATTGTATAAAACAGTAACTGTTCACATTGCTGAATCTCTACAACATGTGGCCCTCCAGGTATTTGGGACTCCAACTACCAGAAGCCCTAGCCAGCTTGTCTAATGGTCAGGAATTTTGGGAGTTAAAGTCCAAAACTCCTGGAGTTGTGCACCACTGTTATACAAGAATCAACAATTTGAGACCAGTTTTGAAAAGCTGGCCATACAAAAATAATAAGTAAATTAGTATAGCCTGTCTAGAAAAATGTGGGAAAACATTTGAAACTCCCCAATTATCATGCAGAAATATAAGAAAGAACTTAACCTTCTGTTAATTATTTTGTATGAAGGAAATGTGATGGTGGTTTTAGCAGAACTTGCCCATTCAACTGAACCTTGCATTTCCAACTTTAGACTTCACACTAAACATCACACACTGCATACTTATCAACACTGACATAAACCCAAAAGCACAGATCCTTACAGACAGCCATGACTTCTACAAGAATCTTCACTACACATTACCATCAAATCATTGGTGATCTCTGCAGATGTATTCTGTGATTTGAGGGTGATCTATTAATAAGCCAAGTAAAAGTTGTGATGTCAACAGTGACAAGAAATTAGTTAGAAACCTATTTCTTCAATAGCCTTTGAAAGACTGTGAGAAGAAAAAGATAAATGATATGCAACACAGTTTATTTTACTGGTCTAAACATCTAAACATGTCACAGTTTATTCTACTGGTCTAAACCTCTTTTTTAAAAGAAAAGAATCTGTCTTATAACTGAAAGAAGAGTTTCCAGTTGACTACAGAATTTAAGGAAATTGCTGATATCTAATAGATGTCAAAATTAGTTTAAGAATTACAATAACTACCAAACCTAAGAGTGATGACATTATTATATGAATATGAGAAGTCATAGTCTACTTTCTGTTCTCTATCTGTAGATAACCAGTAAACTGAGTCTATTCAAGATCTATGATATGTCCCTTTATTTTCAAAACTCAAATCTGGAAGACCTTTAAAAAGGAGTTATAACAGTCTTTCTATGAGTGCAAATATCAATCCTCATTCAACAGCACATAATCAGATTAATCTGCCCTATGGCCTTCTAGTAATATGGCCTGGACTTAGAACTGTCACAGTATGAAGACATTTTCAAATGCTGAGCTAAAACAAAGTGATGTTTTATATAACATGTCACCTATAATTTTCAGGGATTAAAATCACTATGTTATGCAAGATAATATCACCTACTCAACAAAAGTATACTTGGAACAAATCCTTAAAAAATCTTTTAATGACAGATTTCAGATTAACATTTGGCTACTTATAAATTTCCCCTCAACGGTTTATGTATAGTAGGCATGCTTATCAACAGCAAAAACCCTGCTTCATCACAGGTCTCATCTAATTCACCCAAATTATAATAAATACTGCAGACTCGCCATGGGGCACAACAGGGCCCAATATCCTACTCTGCACCTGGCATGCAACACAAAAACAATACATTGGGTGAATCCAGGAATGGAAAATATGTCCATATGTCTCAAATCTCTATTCAAGCTTTCCTCTATTCATTACAGTACACAGGCATCATATACAGAGAGTCCCCAAGTTAAGAACAAGGCAGGTTCCATAGGTTTGTTCTTAAGTTGAATTTGTTTCTAAGTCAGAACAGGTATGTTTCTTAAGTGTAAATCTAGGCCAAAAATAATAATTTCTTAGTTTTGGGCAGCATAGGAAAGAATTAACACCCCTGTGCTGTTTGTTTTACTGTCTGTGACCCTCTTCAGAAGATTTCACCTCACTTTCTGTCCCTGTGACAATTGTATTTTGAAAATTTTGGCTTGTTGTGAAAATAAGAATTGGTGATAAAGCTTCAGCTGAGACACCTTTTCCCCATGATAACTGTCAGGAATGAATTTCCGTTCCAAGAGTCAGATTTCTCTAATTTCCTGTTGTCTCATCCCCATTCTTAACTATGAGTCATTTGTCAATCAGATGTTTGTAACTTAGGGACTGCCTGTACACAGTTTTGCAGCTTTATTACCAAGCACAGCAACTCAACTTGTGTGTTAGTACTGAAGAGTATAGATGAGACACTTGTTAATAACATGATAGTTAAAGATGATCTGAAAAATTCATTTGCCTAGATGTGACTAGTTTAATGTTGAAACAAAATAAAAGCAAAAGTTTTTAAAAATCTGATTGTTCAAAGTTAGGTCTCAAGAGAAAAATAAATAAATTACCTTTGAAAACTTCAAGTTCTTTCCTGTAGAAATAAAAAAAATTATGAACAATCAGAGACATAACTGTGCAAATCATTTACTAGCCAACAAAAAAAATTAGCTACTGCAACATGTTGTAACAACTGTAAAATAACCTAAATTAATATGTACAGGCATCAGCAATAAGGCAACTGGGCTAACTGAAACATGTTTGTTCATCTCCCAAATACGTTTTCAATTTATTCCACTATTCATTCTGAATCAAAAGAAAGAAGAAAAAGTGACAAAATCTGTGTAAGGATTAGGGTGAAAACAGACAGCAAAACAGACCACAGTTAGTTTTGAATGATGTCTGTTTTTAGCAGACTGCTCTACCTCTATAAGTATGTCTCTCCAGATGTCACTAGATTCTAAAGAATCATGGGAGGTGGAGCCTCACAACATCTCGAGGATCACTCTGCTCTATCCAGTGTTTTTTCATTTCTTTCTGGTTTGTTTTCATGTAAAGAAAAGATTGCATTTGTTTCCAAATACTATAGGTAATGTTTAATGAACACTTCCTTCTAATGTTCGTTAAACTGATCTAGTTAAATTGATCTTAATGTCTGTGCATGTACATATATGCATAGTGTCTCCTTTGTGGGGTACAAAACAGTTTCCTAAAACTAATAATATAGACAAAATAACAAACACAGTGGGAAAACCCTCTGACCTGTCTCACAACTCCAAGCAAATGATTTCACACACATCATAATAGAACCAGAAGAAACTTCCAGTTGAAATTTTTGCTCACAGCAGCATGATTTTGTTCAGTATTCCCTAGTCTAGGTGATGCTAAAAGCTATGGTATTTTGTTGACATATTCAAGATAAGAGAAAAGAGAAAGAACACATGCACAAACTAAATAGTAAGTGACATAGAGGAGAAAGGCAGAGTAAGCACTTCAAGCATTGGAAGTGTTCATTCAGTGAGTAGACAGAAAGAGAATGAACTAAGGAAAGTCACAAAAACCTAATGCAAGAAGCTAGCCAAAGATAAGGTACAGAAAAGGAAGAAGAGAACGTTGGGATTCACAGTGAGTAGACTACTAGCAGACAGTACTGGCTGAGTGCAACTCCTTAGTAACTTATCTTTCACAACCAAAAGACAAAAATAAAATGTTTCTATCTAAATTCACACTGTAGATCAAACCCTCTATTAAAAACTCAAAGGTACTTTTGTTTGTTTGGATCTGTTTTTAAATTCAAGTTGTTCCCAATCTGTTTTTAAATTTGTTCAGATCACAGCTCCACAGGAGAGTCTAACAAAAGTCATGGAATCAATTTCCAGACTAAGATACTTTAAATACAATAATCTAAGAAACAGGAAAGAAACTGAAGAAAACATGATGTTCATAGGCTCCCTGAAGTCCCAAGGGTCCATGAACATATATTAAAAATAACTGGCCAACCCCCCTCCTACTTTCTCAAGAGAGTACTGAAAGCAGCTAATCTAAAATTATCACACAAGCATGTCTAACAAAAAGACTCAGACAATATATGTCCTATGTAATCATATAGAGGGCCCTTAATATCTTCTGAGTTTGGTTCCAAGAACCCTCACCACATCCATGGATACCAACATCTGTGGATGCTCAAGTGCCATTATATATAACCGAGTAATAAAACAGTGTCCCTTATATATAATGGCAAAATAAAGGTTTGATTTTGGAAGGTTTTTTTCAATATTTTCAAACTGTGAATGGTTGAGTTTTTTGATATGGAGGGTCAACAGTATTAATAAAGTCAGTGCAAAGGCTAAACTAGATCAACTATGAAGTTTAAGGATTTAACATACTTTTATGATGGATTTTAGAATTTGCTACTAATGAAGAAAAAATCTGATAGATTTTTTTTTCAGATTTTAGAATTTAGATTTTAGAATTTGTTACTGTTGAACTATCCGATACAAAAATCTCTTGGTGGGATATAAACACAGATCCATAACAATGGAGAACTTATAAAAAGGTATAGTATTTTGGAACCAAAATATTGCAAAGATACATTCAAAGAGAGACACTGAAGTATTGATTTCTAAAAACAATACACCAATGGGTTTTTTTTTCTTAAGCCAAGATTCTAACTGCTGCCAACAGGCAAAAAACGACATTACATCAAGAAAAGGATATATTTCCTAACAGGGCATGGAAGGCTCAAGTTGACATGAATCCTGATAACAAATTAGCTATGTCACATATTAACTGCTTTCATCTCGGAAATATAAGTTAATATACTAGGACAGAAAAAATAGTGAATAAAATATTTGTGGCTTAGGTGACCCAGGTTCAAAGTATTACTTATTCATAGTGGTTGCAAAATAAGGTCTGGTTAGTATCTCGCCAATGAACATACATTACACGATTATAGCAAAGGGAAGTTTAAGCAGCATGCGCACACACATCTGGATGCATGGCATCTGGATCTGCAATTTCCAGTGAGTGTAGATCGTTATGCCCCATATATCAGTAAACAGTGGGAACATGAACAGAGATACACTGAAGTATAAGTTTTCACACTGTTATTATTTGATATGATGCATAAATATCTGATTTTTTTTCATATCTGTGACAGGTCCCTGAGACATGCCCCCATAGATATGGTGGGATCACTGTACAAAACCTTTAAACTGGAAATGATCCATCTTGAACATGATGTCTTTCGATTCTGAATAACCATGCATAACCTTGCCTTCCTATTGCACTATCATTTCATTTATATACTTCTCGTTGTTGCCACTGTTGTGTGCCTTCAAGGCGTTCCCAACCTTCAAGTCATTCCCAACCTATGGCAATTTTTTTTCTGGCAAGATTCATTCAGCAGAGGTTTGCCATTGCCTTCCTCTGAGGTTGAGAAAATGTGATACATATTGTTGCTATACCAGAGTAGCATTAGTTGTAAGGAGTAAGTGGCAGAATTCTTTTTTAAATCTTGGTATGGAGAGAAATATTAGCTAGTAAGAAATTCATATTACAGAGAGAGGACACCACCGTTATCTAAGCTGACTATTTGGCATTCACAAACTATTTCACATTGAACCGTTTCCACGTAGAGGGATTCAATCTTTGTAGAAAAAAAAGGTCCAAAACACGCAATGCTCACGTTTTATTATAAACATACTACTCAGCTGCCCAATCTGTGAGCTGTGGCAAAAGACTGCACTTCATGTTGTAAACAATTAAGAATGCATTATTGATGAAAAACGGATGTAATCAGACAAACTTCTATGTATATTAAGCCACATGCTGGTGAGCACTTCAAGAACATTAATTTCTCTTAGCATCATTCAAGCAACTCTGGCAATAATAGCTTCAAAAAGCTACCACTGCGGCTCACTTATCCTAAATAGGCTCTTTAAGGTTTCATTTCTTCTAAAAACAAATGTATTCTCCTTAGAAGACAAAACAGCTCTCCACCCATCCTCTTAGTGATTTTTTTTTATCGTGTCATGATTAATGATTTAAAATTATCAGTGAACAGCACCTTAATTATTTTTTAAAAAGTTATATTATTTATTCCTCAAGATCTTAGGTACAACATGGTTTACAAAATTTAATTATGAGCTCCAATTTAAAAAGTATTAAGTCATTGAAACCAGAACACTCTCTATTCTCCCAGTCACCTACAAATGCAAATAACAGGTTTGCTAAATAATTCTTACAACATTGAAATCAGAGAACTAATTAAATCGCTCCATACAAACTAGAATTGACTCTGGTTTATAGCGACTGCTTAAATTTGGCTGGAACACAGGATTTGGTTGGAACACTTCAGAAAAAACTATGGTTTAATACATCTGGGAGTCTCCTCTACAACTGAGTGCACAAAGAGCAGAGAGAAAATAAAAATTCTTGAACTCATTCCTATTTCAAGAAGCTATAATTCGTTGCATGAAGAAAAGACCAGTAGAGTCACTTGAATATAATGACCCACTTGCTTACTAGCTGAATAGGTGCAGCAGTGTGAGATGGCATCAGAATTACAGACCATATCCTCTATGCGCGTCAGGGAAAACACAGCAGTAGCTTTTAGAAACTTTTACTGCCAGAGCTGTCTGCATAGTGGTAAGAGAAATTAATGTTCTTCAAGTGCTCACAAGCATGTGGCTTAATACAGATAGAGAGTTGTCTGATTGCATCCATTTTTCATCAATAATGTATTCTCAAGTATCTGAAATATAATTGAGGGGGGGTTTTTTTGCTAAAGTTTCAGGCTAAGCAGCTGAGGAGTACGCTTATAACAAAATGAGGGCACAGCATGAATCAGACCCTTTCTTTCTACAAAGATATAATCCCCCTAATTTAAATATGAAATAGCATTACAATGCCAAATTGTTTGGTAACAAAACTTGTGGTGTTACTTTCTTATCTGGTGTAAAGATTTGTTACCTGCTAATATTTTGCCTCCTATTAAGATTATTATTTTTATTTTTTAATAATCTTATACAGTGATATCTTGACTTAAAGAGTTTAATTTGTTCTGTGATCAAGCTCTTAACTCAAAATGCTGCTCTTATGTAAGCAAAACCTGGACCCAGTGACAGCTCTTAACTCAAAGCAGTCTTAAATTGGGACACTTTTAAGTTCCGGTTTCACTCTATCTTATTCCTTACAATTGATATGCTTTTTTTAAAAAAAAAAAGATGAGCACAACATGCTTTGTTTCTAAAGTACAGTTTCACAGCAACTGGTGGTTGGAGGCAAATCTTCAACTTCAACAGCAGTTTCTTCCCTGACCAATGGGGGCCAGGCTGCCATCACATCCTTCCTGAAAGGCACCGGATGCAACCTGCCTAGTGACTTTCCTGCTGATTTGAGAACTATCATAACACTATAACAGAAATGTGTAAATTTGGTAATCTGGATGTTGCTAGACTGCAACCCTCATAATCTCTCATGATTGGATCTGCTAGATGAGAACTACAGGAACTGCAATCCATTAACATTTGATAGTCTCCATCCCGCCTTATAAGAACAAAACCCCAGTGAAATTAGAGTGCCCTCCTCCCTCCTAGCCTTCAGGAAAAAAAAACCCTAAAAACATGGTTTTGGGATCAGGCCTTTGGTCAGTATTTGGAACAGTGCAATAAGAGACTATAAATTAACACTGACGACTCAGACTGGCCATGGATTATGACCTGGATTATGTGATTTTAAATTGTTGTTTAATGTGATGTTTTAACTGGTTGGTTTTAACGTTTTAATGTGTTGGTTTATTTATCGATAATATGTGTTCATGTGGCGTCAAATTGTTGCCTTTGTAAGGCCTCCCTAAGTCCCCTTCCGGGTTGAGAAGGGCAGGATATAAATGCGGTAAACAAATAAATAATAAAGTAAACTAATAATTAGCCTAGTTAACTTAACAGTTTTTGACATTTAAATTCTTTGCCATGTTAACACAGTTTGTTGAAATAATTAAGACTTTTCCTGCATATATTTTCATTGTTTTAAATGGGATGTATAATTCTAGCACTCGTCGTCTTTAATGGCATAGCTTTGCTAATTTAATTCGCCTCACTAGTTTAACTCCAGATTTTCTCAGAAAATGTGCTTTAAAAATCAAGTCAATGATCTGCTGTTGAAATATCAACCAGCATTTCAATTATTAAATCAAGCTGAACTAACTTGTGATCACTTGATCCCAGCAGATTTCCAACAGCCATTTATCTTGTCCTCACTGGATGCCAGCAGCAAACCAAACACTGCAATTTCTCTTGAGGGTTGAATGACAACTTGATGAACAAATTTATCATCCGTTGTTACCAGAGCAGTATTTATCTTCTTGTCTCAGTCAAAGAAAAAAAGTCCACCATAATTATGCAGTGGTCTTTCCTATAAATTAGAATAACACTGATAGAATAGGACAATATAGTAAGAACAAACTGTAATTAGTAAAAGATGAAAACCTAAGAATTTAAAATGAAGCCTTTTCAATGACATGCGCACAAAACCCAACCACAAGTTCAATGAGATTTTTTCCCAGGTATTAGAAAATACAATTATAGCCGGAATTTCTTGGCCAATTGACATCATTTTAATCTCTATTTATGGAGGCTGTTAGCACACTTCTCAAACAAGATAGAAAAAGAGCATGATAAATGTATACTTTTATATAAAACAGGAAGGACTAAATCTGGAAAATCAAATATTAAACTTTAAATATATTCAAAACTTACCGTTTTGTCTTTTTGTATTTTTCCAACTGTAGCACTTGCATATGTTTATATCTTTCCAACTCATACTGTCCACAGAGCTTCTCAAGATATAGTAAATGATCTTCCATTTCCTTAAAGTTTGCTTCCAACTGGACTGTGTGTTAAAATATTCAAATATCAGAATCCCTCCTTACTAAGGAAAACCTTATTAGTAGTACCTCTATGGTGTTTGGAGAAAATGTATACTGGAGAAATAAGTTACCAAAAACACTCTATTCCTGAATCTACCAAGAAAAAACAAACCTCTCTAGAAAGCCCTAGGTTACTCCCACTACCACAACCTAGGATTACCTGATATTGGGTAAGTTTCAAAACATTTTTATTTAAAATTGTGTTAGCACAGTTTTTTTTCTAGCCACAACCTCCCAACGCAGTTACCAAGGCAATTAAACTTTAAAACAATAAAAGGAAATTCAGTTAATTAAAATTTTGAAGATGTTTAGACTGCGATGGCATATGAGCATATAAACAGTGTAGACCTTTAAAAAGGGAATTAATTAAACATAGTCTGGAATAAGCAGTTTTAAAAGACCTATCTGAAAACTGTTGGGAGGAAACAACATACACGTTTCATCAAATAAACATTTCTATCACTTTCTTGAGAATTTATTGTCAAGTAATCGGGATTTATCCATGTGGATATTATTTGAAGAGCTATCATATGAATAGATATGGGCAAAAGCTATACAATTCCATAGTTGGAGACTGGGATAAAAGAAAAGTGAATCTCTGTATCTATTCCTAAATACTTAGGGGCTTGAAGACTACACTCCATGAATGCAGTGGAAAAAGTGAATTAAAGTCCACAAAAGTTCATGTTCAAAGAAATCAGTTCATCTAAAAGATACGATGAAACTTTTCAACTTTACGTTAATACTGAAACAAACCAACATGGCTATCTTTTTTATAAAGTAGCATACCACCCACCCGCAATATAAGGAAGGGTTAACACCCCTGTGGTGTTTGTTTTGCTATCTGTGCCCTGCTTAGAAGATTTCACTCACTTTCTTTCCCTGTGATAATTGGATGTTGAAAAAAATGGCTTCTTATGTAAACAAGGACTGGTGACAAAGCTTCAGTGGAAACACCTTTACCCCGTAATAACTCTTCCAGGATTGAATTTCCTTTCCTAGTGTTAGCTTTCTCTCACTTCCTGTTGTCTCACACCCATTCTTAACTATGAGTCTTTTCATGTTAACTATGACTTTGTTTTGATTTGGACAAGATGATGTGAGGGGTTATAAATTTCACCTCTTCCTTTGAACCAGAATTTCATGATTCCCAGAGGTTCATTTCTGAGATAAAAATTCTTATTTTATAAAGTTTAACAAATACTTATAGGAATGCCTTTTAATACATAATATAGTTCCAAATGCAATATACCTGTAAAATTCCTGTAAAATGCAAATACATGTTTAATTGAAAATACAAATTGCAAGGGAGGAAGTTCTGGTTACAAAAAACTAGAATGAAAAAAAAAAGCAAACTGGGAACTAGTTTGTTGTGAAGCAAGGCTATGATCTGCTTTGGGTGAAATTTCAGTTTCTGTGAATACTCCAGTTAGCTCTTATGTCTAACTTCCCTATGCATTACCTAGTGGTAGTAATGGCTACGGGTGTCTTTATCAGCCCCAGATGGTACATCACATGCAGTTATCCATACTTTAAGATCCTTCTTAGTATCTATTCTAGATTTCATGACCATCTGAATATGAAGAATCAATTATTTGTTTAAGGAAATGCTTACTCTGGCCATAGTTGCTATTTTATCCTCATATTATATTCTCTAATGTTATGTAAAATGTCTTCTCAAATTAAGTTGTGAACCACTCTCTCTAGAGTCATTTGCAGAAAGACAATGAAAGATTTTAATGAAATTCATTAAAAAGTCCACCACTTACTACAAAAAGGAGAAACCAATCAAGATGAATTATTCACTGTCAGGGCCGTAGCCAGAAAAAAATTTCGGGGAGGGTTGACAATTTCGGCGGGGGGGGGGGGATTGAAAATTTCGGGGAGGGTTGAAAATTTCGGGGGGTGGGTGGGTGGGTTTGAAACCTGTCTCTCCTAGCTCACGCTGAAGCAAAGAGCACAGCAGGGGGCAGAGCAACCTTCAATAGCCTGCAGCTCCGCCCCTGTCAACCACCTCCACCAAGTCTGGCCTCCTTAATGAGAGCATTCAACACACACACACCCAACTTGGTTGCTTCGCTACATTGGCTATTGCTGCAAGTAATGACAGTGTGAATAAATTGTCAATATTTGCTTGAGATAGTGCTTAGGGTTCTGGAGGGACTCTTAATTTTTGGCATCTCATAGACTTAGCATGGGGATTTAGTTAACCAGTTAAAATTCATGAGTAAACCAGGTTTTTTTAAAAAATCTGAAACATTTCGGGGGGGGGGGTTGAACCCCTAAAACCACCCCCTCGCTACAGGCCTGTTCACTGTTCCTTTTGCAAATACATTTTCAAGATGAAATGGAATAATGTAAGGGATTTGGAAATGACAAAATCGAAATGGAAGATGTTCCAATAATTTCTTTCCTCCGCTTATCAAAACTATAGTTTCTGAACAGCAATGCATACATTAGCAGGATATTGTTAAATGCAACCACAATGCAGTCCTACAGTTGTTTCACCAGAAATAAACAATAATTTGTTTCTCAACAAAAAATCAAGATCCATAGGTGGGCAAATACCTTACAGAGGACCAACTAAAATTTCTAACTGTGTAATATATCAAGTTCTCCAGAAGGTGAGGAGGGCTAGCGACACAATCAAATGGTTCCTGGGTAGCAGAAAAGTCCTATGGGCTTCTATAGTTTTAATGGAACTTATTTGCAATAAGTGTGTATGGGATTGCAGCCTTAATCCAGTTTTAAGACATGATTTTGCTGCTTTTAACTGAGAACATAATAATAAAAAAATAGGGCTATAAATAGTGTGTCCACTCCAGATGTTGATTTCTGAAAGAGCAGTCACTGTGCACCCCCTAGTGGGCACTCTTACAAATACAGCCACGTTACAAGATAAAGAGTTTTGAACATTTTTTAATCTACCAGGATGTGTACAGTACAACCATCATGTCTAAGCATCACTTTTACTTTAAAAAAAAAAAAAGAAGACTGTTTGACAAACATTAATAAATTTGATTTTAATAACTACACAGATGATTTTCATAATTTCAGACAACAAAGACGCTGAGGCGGTTAAAGATTTCTTAAACCTTGGCTCAGTCATCAAACAAAATTGAGAGTGCAGTCAAATAAATAAGAAGACTAGGACTTGGAAAGACAGCTATAAGAGAACTAGACAAGATCCTAAAATATCAAGTTATATAAACAAATAGTAAAATCCGAATTGTCAATGCTACTGTATTTCCCGTTTCTGTGTATGGGTGTGAAAGCTAGATTGTGAAGAATGCTGATAGGAAAAGATGTGCTGCTGCAGGAGCCTTGTGCAGATATCATGGACTGCCAAAAAGACAGATAAATAGGCCTGAAAGCCAAGGACATATCATAAGAAGATAAAGACCACATTAACTGTAGATAAATTCAAGGAAGGAAGCCATTACTACAAATTTCAGACCTGAGCAGGGCTGTTGAGGATAGGGTTATCTGGAGATCTCTCATTCATAGGATGACACTGACTATAAACTGAACTCAACAACAATTTTACTCCCTTTAAGATTTTAGAGATTTAAACTGGGACACATGTGGCCAAGCAATATCAGAGTGGGTTCAAGATGACAAAAGAGATTTATGGGGAAGAACACATGAGCTAGGAGGGGATGCACCAGCTGCCTTTTGCCAAAGGCTACTGGGAAAGGAAAGATTTTTCTCTTCTTCTCCTTTACTTACTGCTTGGTTAATAGTGGTAAAATAGAATGGAACAATATAGCAGGAATGCTATACTTGTGCACTTTCAATTCAGTTGCCTGGAACTGAAATAAGCTAAGGACAAGGGGAGACAATGGAAGGATAGAGAAAATGAGATATTCTAAAAGAGGCCTAAAAAGTAGGATAACAGAGAATTAATTAGTGCAATCCCATTCAAATTCTGAGGGTATCACATTTTAACACCAAAGATAAATTGTATTAATTCTGGCACCATTGAACATCTAATCTCAATTTCCAAACAACACTGTAGCAAACTATCAAGTAGAATGTACAGATCAGGGTTCACTACAGAAACACAGAGATGTAATTCCTACCTTGAAGGCAAGTTACACATCATATGAGGAGAGCTATGATTTCTCTCTCAGTTACTTAAAAAATGAAAGAAGTGAAATGCTATAAAAGTGATAGAAAACAAAGCAGAGACACCACCCACTTCTTGTACAAAGCTGATGTGTAGTCTGAAGAGTAGGGGAATACATGTAGTTTTATGATATTTGTATTTTTTTACACTGCAAATACAGCTTTCAGGGAAAAGGTGCATATTTGGGGAGATCAACCAAAGGTCCATGAGTGCAACATTTTGTCTGACCTAAAAACAGGCGATTAAAGGGAATTAACTTCCAAAGAAGCTTAGATTCATGCAACTCCAGATAAAGTAAGATTGTATTTTAGAACCCCTGTTAAAGTATAGATGTTATTTAATTTCAAAACAAAACGCAATCCATCAGAGAAAAATAACATTTCAGAACACCTACAATGGAGTCCAATTTTGGATCTCCAACTCCCAGAAGCCCCAGGCATATTGTCCAATGGTCAGGAATTCTGGGAGCTGAAGCCCAAAGCACCTGGAGGACCAGAGACTGGACACCACTGATCTTAAACAACCCAAATACATTCTATCATTCAAAGAAAACGGAACACCATACAGCATCATCTAGTAATGTGAAGTTTAGAATATTGCTCTTTCAATATTCCCTTTCCATTTTTTTTCTCCAGGTTCTCTACCCATTACCGAGATCCTCAGTTTGCCATTGCCACTGAACTATTCTGGGTCAGACACATGTCCAATTATTTTTCCTACTTAAATTTTGTTTTACTCCAAAAACCTTAAGATTCTCCCATACATGCCTGCATAACCCTTTTATTTCCATTGGTTTATTTAGTATTTATTTACAGTATTTATATACTGCCTTTCTCACCCCTGGGGGGACTCAAAGTGGTTCTGGTGCTATTGTGGCTACTATCATGCTGGCTCTCACCAGCACAACTGAAAAATCTAATCTGAACGCATGATATGGTTATAGAAAATTATACTTCTCCATAGTTGAGTCCATCTACACCAGTGGTGTCACACTTGTCACCCTCCAGGTATTTTGGATTTCAGCTCCCAGCATTTCTAACAATTGGACAAGCTGGCTAGGGCTTCTGGGAGTTGAAGTCCAAACATCTGCAGGGCCACACATTTTACACCTCTGTGTTTGACACTACTTTAACTACCATGTCTCAATGCTATGAAATCATGGGAGTTGCAATATTACTAGGTCTTTACCTTCTCTGCCGAAGAATACTGGTGCCTCACCAAATTATAAATCCTAGGCAGTTAAAGGGGTGTCAAACTGCATTAATTCTACAATAGAGAAGTACCCTTGTTCATTCTGGTGGAAGACTTCGATTAGCAGACAGGCGGGTGCACCCCTACTGATTCTCTGGGAATATTCAGTAGCCTTCAGGTGCATTATACTACGCTTCTGTGATGGTTTTCTGAATTATGATTGGGCAAGTACTGTTTTGTGGAAGCACCTTCCCTTTTTGAGTAATTTCCAGAAAACATTCTGTTCCAGTCCACAGCTGAAGGGGTGCCACAGGGTCGCGTTACATACCGCCTCTATGTTTAAATCTACATGAAAATATCCCAGAAACATAGCATAATGACATTTGGGCTGCAAAGTCATCAATATGTTGACAATGCACAGCTCCACTGTAAGGTCCTCTGTTGACTAATTCCAGGATGGCGGAAGATTTAAATCTGTTTCTTGTTGCCTCTACTGCTTCCACAATTTTTGTAAACTGTCTTTAGGAAACATTTCTGAAAGACTAGGTATAACATTTCTGAAACATTTTGATGCATTAAGTTTCAAAATCAAAGTATGGAGACACTTACTTAGGCTAGCTGTTGTGGATTCCAAATCTGCTAAGAAGACTGGAATTTGCTGGAGCTGTTCCTGGAGGTCTAAGAGACTGCTTCTCTTTTTCTCCCAATGAGCAGAGAGCATCACAACTTCGCTGTCCACCAACTGTAATGTTTAACATCAAAGATAAAACTAAAATTATGAAATTGGTACTAACAGTTTATACTTTACAATAATCAAGATATTAAAACCTTTAATGTGATTTTATAGCTCTACTTTACAGTAACCAACCACACTTCACGATGACCAAAATGCTAACCACAACTAATTTCAGCCACTGCTTCCATGGGATTTATGCTGAATTATCTTTTTTAATGTGTTATTTATATATAAATTACAGACAAAATACATAGTCACTTTAGAATAAAAACAAAAATATTAACAATAAAAATGTACAATATTTCCACTCTGCAACTCTATGGCATAAATGCACATCTTCCCATCATCTCTCCAAAAATGAGTATGTGTCATTTACTTTTATATTTTCAAAGAGGTAACAGTGTTAACCAGCCTACGCCTCAAAAAGAAAAGTGAGTTTCTTTTGTATGCATTTTTGCAGATGACAGGTACCTTCAGATGTCCCTGAAGCCTACTCTTCAAAAGGTAGCTGAAGAAATAGGCTACACCATTCACAAATGTCTCCTGAAGTAAATGGGTTTGTCTTCAGAGTGCCAAAAAACCCTTCTTTTTTCCTTTATCCCCTCTATTTATTTAATGACATTTAAAACCCAAAGAAATGGTTTTAATTACCCCATCTTTATTTTAGTACGGGCATCCATAAACTTTTCGACCAAAACAATCTAATGTTGGCTTGGGACAGGATATGTACATAAACCAGCAATCCTCTTTCCTTCACAAGAAATCCTCATACAGATTGCTATTTCCTTTCTTAACACTCATAAACATGAGAAGTATTGCCTGGCCTGATGCAATTAAGTTCTAAAATGAAATAAGCATATTAATTTCTGTATGTTTTACCTCTCCAGCTTTTGCACATTCTTTTGCTCCTCTGTGAAGAGATGCCCAATTATCTTCATACCTTTGCAAAGAGAAACAGTAGTAAAATTAGACCTTAAACAGAGCTTACAGCGAAGATGTCAACAAACTCTTATAGCTGTCAACAAACTCGCCTCACCGTATTGAACTGAAGTGCTTACAGTTTACTGCAAAAGAACTCACAACAGTCTATTAAGAAGAACTTGCTTTTGTGACATTTGGAGGAAAATTCTACTTAGAACTGATGCTTTGAAATAAATGAGATCTCTTCAACTAATTTATACCCCACTGATTTTAATATATCTCCTCTAAGTAGAACTAATGTTGGATTAAGACCCTAGTTGCCAAGACTACACTATTAAGACTGTCAATTCTGGGCAGTTTTGCATTTTAAAGAAACCCACAAAACACTCTACAGCGATATGACCTTTTATTTCATTTTGTTTTCAATTCTTCAAAACATATGCAAACAATACACCAAGAAATATATCATTACAGAATTAAAACACAGACCTCCAAGTAGAAATACATTTTAATAAGTGATATCTTCTTTTCTGTTCTGTTTCCCTTTCCAACCCTCCCACATAGGTCTTTGTCAGCTCCCAAATGTGCTCTTTGAAAAATGCAAAAAATTATTTTTAAAGCACACCGGGGGGGCGGGGGGGGGTACTTACATTATTCCATTGCAGGCTTGTTATTGTAATATTTGTACCAGGTTCCCACACAAGTATTTTAAACCAGTTGTAAAAATTCTGATTGTGAGCTGTCATTGCGTAAGTTACATATTTTTGCTATTGTTTCCCTAGAACCAAGCCCATTTCAGTACATTAAGCTTCAAAATACATTAAAGGCCCTGGGAGAATTCTATTGATTCTTTTGCTTTCTATTTTTGTCTCCAAAGTCTCCCACATTAAGAGGCAACTGTTAAGAAACAGACCATGTTGAGAATATTTTCTAAGATTTTTAATCAATGCTTTGTTTTATCTTTAAAAGAGACGACAGGATGATATGAGAAATGTTGGGACTGGGGATGAGGGACCACATTTTAAAAGTGCAATTCAATGAAGGGTTTGTGTATAATACATTATCCAATAACCTTCTGGAGATGCACTGAAAAGGAAGGACTTCTATGTATGAAACTGATGTTTCTTACTTCCATAGTTGTCCAAATTACCTCTTTATTTATATGCATGAAATGAATTATTTCTTAAACTTGAAAGGTAAAAGATTTGGAATGGCTATATCATACCAATTTTGCCTGTATTATACCTATTCAATTTTTGGAAAATTTACTTCTTTTATTGCTTGAGATAAATGAGTTTGCTATTTTTTGCCAAGAGGCAAGTCTTTTTGAAATAGAGGTGAGCCTGAAAGCCATTTTTGGTAAAATATTCATTTTGATTATGGAGATTGTACCCAACAATAGATTTAGAGATATTCACTCACAAGGATAATGATTTGATGGTGGAAATGTAATGGCTGAAATCTATTGTTACGAAGCCCCTTAAAAAGTTTAAGTTCATTTTAATTTTTCTTCCATACCAAGTTGCTGTTCTGCAGAAAGGGAATTATTTGTATACAATAGGTTCCTTGAATATTTCATAAAAATCATCGGACACTTCATCTAATTCATGGGTTATGGATTGGGTTGTGGTGCAGCTGGTTGGGAGTCAGCTGCATTAAAAATCACTACTGACCAAAAGGCCATGAGTTTGAAGCTACCCCGGGTCGGAGTAAGCTCCCGACCATTTGTCTAGCTTGCTGTCGACCTTTGCAGCCCGAAAGACAGTTGCATCTGTCAAGTAGGAAATTTAGGTACCGCTTATGCGGGGAGGCTAATTTAACTAATTTACAATGCCCTAAAAATCGCCAGCAGCATGCAAAAGAATGAGAAAGTACTCCATCGATGTCACAAGTGGATGGTGAAGCGACAGCTCCCCTGGTGGCTGGAATTTGAGCGAAAGATATACAAAATTATATCTTAGTCTTCTGGTCATCTCCAGAAACATAAGCAGAATGATAATTCAGTTAGAAATCTGACAGTGAGAACTTAACAAAAAAGTTACCTGCTTAGCAGAACCAATCCAGCAGAAAACTCTGGCAAACACTGTACAGTTCTGTAATAAAAATTATAGAAATACAAGAAAGTGAAGAAATCCTACAGGGTTTCCCAAGTTAATGTTTACAATTACCACTCATAAAACTTCTCTGACTACAGCAGCTATATTTTACAACAATTGCACAGCAAATTAAGATTAAACTTTAACCTACCATGGGAATATGAAAACAGATGGGATTTGTTAACAGAAACTGAATATCCCTCATTCAAAACGCTTCGGAGCAGGAATGTTTTCAATACTGGATTTTTTAGAATTACGGTATGAAATATCAGAGATGAGACAAAAGTCTAAACACAAAATTCATCTTGTATACATGTTATATACATAGCCAGAAAATAATTTTATGCACAATGTTTTTAATGATTATTTTGTGTATATTGATCTATCAGAAAACAAAGGTATTACTATCTCAGCCCACATGTGAATGATTCTGAAGTCTTCTGGATTTCAGAATTCTATATAAAAGATGCTCTACCTGTATATGTTTTGGAATGCTATTCATCAGAACAGAATATTATGTGATATTTCATAATGCCACACACAAGGTCACAAAATGTCTCACTATAAAAGTTTTGCTATAAACAGTATTTCCATAAAATATCAAATAGTACCTCTGTTTACTTATTTTGGCTTCTCTTGATTTGTCACCCAAAGTCTTCAACCTGGAAAAAAAGAAATGTGCATGAGTTAGGGGGGGAGAGACAGTTCCATAACAAGAAGGCACTCTTTATTGACATTTAGCCACCATGTGTTACTAAAGCTACAAATGTAAGTAGGAAAATCCCAACTATTTCTTCTTTCTTCCATTTATCGTTTCTCTCCTGTTTTTTTCATCAGCTCCTGTTTCATTTAACAGCTTGAGAAATTAATCAGGAATAAACCATAATTTCAGGTTTAGATGTTAGAAGATATAATGAGTTCATCTTGTGAACTGTTTCTGGTAAACAAACCACGGCCTTAGCAAAGGTGAATTCAAACATTGCAAGACAGATTTCCCTTAAACATATCAGAACTCAATTTTAAGTTTTGAACATATATAATGTGTAACAAGGACTTTCGGAAAATTCTTCTCTACATATGTTAGAACACAACAGGTGAACATCTGAAAAGGAATTTCTCACTAATTTGGGTCCAAAGAATTTAAGAATGCAAAGGTCAAAGCAGCACTTAGAGAGTAAACACTCACAATACTAGTGTAACATGATCCCACCCAGCCACTCCAGCAGGTTCATTCTGCACTAACTGAAATCTGCCGGTCATACACAATGAAAACCACACAGAACACATTATAGTAGTCCAACCAGGAAGTATGAATCATGCTGGATAAATTGCCCTGGCAAAAAAGGTTTTATTTAGTGAAGCAATCAAAGATAGTTAGAAGTTATTCATGTGGGCCTCAGGGGCTTTGCTGCATCAATGAAAACCCCTAAAGTACATACTTGTTCAGGTAAGGATTGGGTCTGCAATCCCAGCTACAGAAAACCTACACAGACAATTCCTGAATATAACAATGGCTTTTTGGAAGTGAAAAAGCATCAAAACTTGTATATAGCACAATGAAAGACTGAGGGAATCCTGTGGTACACACCTATCTTGTATTTCACTTTTGTTTCTTAGATCAATGTACAGGTAATTCAAAGTGTTTTGCTTCTTGCCTTCATAGAGAGATCATTCTGTCCTTTTTCCCAAACTGTTATTACTGGCACCCTTTTGTTTAAGAAGGTAGTATTATGAGGCTTCTCTGCCTCAAGATGCCTTACACATAGACATGAGAGTCACCATTCTTCTGCCAAATGAGGTAACTTTCTTTTTGTATATCTACTCTTTTATCTGAGATGTTTTACCTGTAACAATAAAAGTAAGTTTTTACCTTGTCAAACTTTACCTCAGCATCCTAAATAATTTATCTCCTGTTTCTTACCATAAGCTCATATATAGCACTAGCTACGTTGTATGCTACTCTGTTATAGATACTGTACCAAACATTCCTACAAGGCCTACCCACAAAAACCACTGTCATATCAAGTTTCAACCTTAAGTAGCACCTTTTTGAGTCTGCCAAAATGTTTAACTGTGATTATTTAAAATATACATTATATAGAGGTTACTTTGGTTTTAAATTGGTTTGCTGCCCTGGAATGTTTTAGGATAAAGAGTATACACAAACCATGGTATTATAATGAAATCCGTAATTCCCATACCTGAAGCCACTCAAACGTAATATCAGTGAACTACAACCATTTCTAGAGAATAATGCAGATCTTGCGCAATTTCTGGGAGGCAGGCCTTTATTATTCTACACCAGGCATTGGCAAACTTTGGCCCTCCAGGTGTTTTGGACTTCAACTCCCATAATTCCTAATGGCCTCAGGTCTTTTCCCACAATTCCTAACAGTTCCTAACAGCCTCAGGGAAAGGAAGGGGTCTGAGGCTGTTAGGAATTGTGGGAGTTGAAGGCCAAAGTTTGCCCATGCCTGGTTTACATTCAGTCTCCTCATCTGAAACAACTGCTCAGTTACAACAGCACATATAACATAGATGGTAAAAACTGGCACAAACACAGATGCCCTATTTGTTCCCCACTTCTAATTCTGGGAGCAAGATTATAGTGGTCAATAACATCATTCAAAACATCAGAGGCACATTTACCAGCTCTTTCTCCATTCTATGCCAGCAATGTCCCTACATTCTATATTGGGCAAACAGGACAGTCTCGATCCAAGAGGATGACTAGACATAAATCTGACATATGAAAAGACAGTACCCAAAAACTGTTGAATTCTCTTACCGGTATATACAAGAGTCCTCATTACTGCACATATAACAAAAGCACTTTTCTGAGAATACGTTTTGAACCTGGAAAACTAACTTTTATTTATTGCTTTCACACATCAACACTAATCGACCACTGAAAAGATCTGAAAGACTAGTTTCACTTTATAGTAGTCCTTTGAAAATTTGGGGCAAGTTTAGATTTTGCATTTTTCTAGAACCTGTTACTTTTTCTACCACTCCCACAACTGTGTAAATGTGCTTTGTAAATGAGCATTTATTATCACTCTGTACTGCACCTAAAGAAGATTTATACCCACAAAGGCTAAAGCGAAAATTTAAAAAACCAGTTAGTCTTAAAAGTACTGCCACTTTCCTTTTTCTCTCTCCCCCCCCCCCCTTTCTTTTTCAACTAAGACATCCCACTGCTCATTGCAAAACACAGCGTGAAGATCAGGAAATGCAAGGCCCAACTGCACTATCCATTTGCAGTTCAACCTGATGACAAAGTGTTGGACTGCAGCCCAGATAACTATTATTAAAGATACTGACTCCATTTGTGGGAAAAAGTAACAATCACAAGCTACACAGCTGATCTAATTAATAATCTACAAATAACTGGCAACAATTAACCCTAACATATACCCATAAAGATACCCTCATTTGGATTACTGAAGCATTTAGAGTTGACTTCTATTAAGAGAGAGGACCTGTGAAGAAATAGCAAAAAATAAACTATTATTAAACTAAAAAAAATCTTTTTGGAATTTTCAATTTTTCTCTGCTGAGATTCAATTTACCAGCATCCGTTCACTTTCATAAACTAAACATAGCAGTGTAGGTCTTTCTTCTTCTCTCACAAAACTGCCATCAATACATGTGGGGTTTTTTTGTGGTAGACACAAGACAGCAGCAATTGTAGGAACGGGTGAGATCATGCAGTTATTCTGGTCCAGCACAGGTACTTAGCTCATCTACAATCATATTACATTCTGCTTTTTGCTGAAAACGTTTACTATTTTCTATTAACGGAATGTCACTCTGTACCAATTGTCACTTGTATTTGACAGCACAGGAAGACTATCTCACTAACTGTGTATGTCAGTTCATGTGTGTATGTGTAAGTATTCAGTTTATATAAATTTGCCAAATCCACAAGCAGAAAGACATTAAATATATTAGAAACCAACACTTTCTCATTACTTTATTTTGATTTTCTAAAAAAATACCGGTATTTTGAAGTTACAAATCTGATTTACCTCTTAGTATCATAACAAGATGGTAGTGTTAGTATCAGTACATATCAATATGACATGTTACAACAACAATTCTCCATTGGTGCATTATCCCAAAATACCATATGGGCCAAATAGTCTTTAAAACAAGTACCAATAAGGCAGCAAATATTACTGGCTTTGTTTGTGAACGCAGTCATGCTAGCTTTAGTGAGGCAAAAACAGAAAAATAAAATGAATACATTTGAGTCTATGTATTACTGAGAACAAAGTCAACCAACAGAGAGAGCATGGTGTAGTGGTCTGAATCTGGACAACAATTCTGGAGAATAGGGTTAGAATCCCCACTCAGGACATTGAAACTCACTGTGTGACCTTGAGCAAGTCACAACTACTCAGCCTGAGGCAACAACAAACCTCCTAAATGAATCTTGCCAATAAAATCCCATGATAGGGTGGCCATAGGGTTGCCATAAATCAGAATCTATTTCACGGCACACAGCAACAAGATAGAGCATTGAGAACAGATTTCCCCATTATTCTCATAAGTAAATTAGGACAACTAGATTGCACTTTCACTTTTGAATGACAAAAGAAAGTTGAAGCACACTTGTAATAACAACTTTATGTAACTATGGGAATGGCTTTGACACGCATTGCAACTGACAATCTTACCATGAGGCACTAAACTCTTTCGCATCACTTTAAACGTAACCATCGAATCAAACAAGCTGCACTTTGGAAGATACAATACAGAAAAACTATTCCTAACATTGGATTAGGAACCATAACTTTAGAACAGTCTTTAAAATAGAAGGAACAAGGGAAAAGGAATACTTAGACTGAGGCTCCCATTCTGAGGTGGAGGGAGGGGGGAATGAAGCTACATTGTAGATATTCTCAGATGGAATTAGCTAATAACATTTAACAAAAAGGCTCAAACTTCTGTGTACACAAATGACCTGCAAATAGTTGGGTTCTTTCTCTCACAGAAGATGCCCCAACATGAAGTGGCAAGCCTAAAGGTGAATAACAATTTGGGAAGACAGAACCTGGGAGTGACTATTATGAACAATTAAGTAATTCACTCAGAATTGCCAAACTGGATTCTCGCAAAATACCAACCTCTTTAAAAAGATGCACATACAAATATTTCTCTAAGCTAAAGGAAAGATATTCCAGAGCCCAAACTCCACTACATTAACAAGGCAAAGCAACATCTTTTTCACCAAATCTCACCCCAACTGGCACTTCTTCCAGCTCTGCTTGGTCTTCAGTATAATTATTCAGTAAGTTTCATATGGGTGCAACAGTGGAGCTCAATCCTTCCTGTGGGTCCTATAGCGCCTATTATGGGGTTGGTTACTTACCAATCCTCAGTGGGGTTTACTACCATTAAGCCTACAAAGGACTGCAGCCTTCATCTTCCAGACGCCACTTGCCTCCTCCAGCAGACTGAAGCAGTCTGTGCTTTTTTTATCCACTTCCTACGCAGCAACAAAGTACAGGGAGAGGTTTTGATATCCCTTATTCTAAATGCTCCATAACTGTCCAAATTTGGAGGCTGAGGTTGTGACACTTTGCTTCCTGATGTGCACCAAATTGGCTTCATGCACAAAATCCTTCCAAAACAGTGTGTGTAAGCCCACCTATACTAGCTACACACACACAAGGGTGTATGTGGAACATAAACACATTTTGTGTTTAAATTCCAAAATAAAGTATGACCCAAACGTCTTCACACATAGGACAGAAGAAACACACACACACATATATAAAATTTTGACAAGTGCACACATGTTTAAAAAGAGGTGGCCAAAACGTAGTAATGTAATGAATATTTTGTAAATAAAGATACATTTCGCTACCATTTTCGCTACATATGACGACTTTTGGGACACCCTGTATTATGTATTCAAGCAATCCCCGAGTTACAAACATCTGACTTACAGACAACTCTTAGTTAAGAACAGGGGTGAGACAACAGGGAATGAGAGGAAATTACTCCTAGGAAGGGAAATTCACTCCTGAAAGAGTTATTATCATGGGGGAAAGATGTCTACACTGAAGTTTTGTCACCCATCCTTGTTTCCACAAGGAGCCATCTTTTTTTCAAAATCCAATTATCACAGGGATATTTCTGGTTATAGCAAGTAGCCCAAACCCTGCCAATGTCTTCCCCAAACACTACGGCCCACTACCCAGGGAATGCATTCATTCAGGGACAATTTCATCCCAGATTTTACATGTTTCGTCCATCACAAACACCCCAGTGTTTCTTACTCTCTCCATTTGAATGGAATTTGCATGATCCCACCCCTGCCTCTCCCTTAACCCTTTCCTACTCTTTTCAACTCCATCTGCACAACAAATAGAGCAGAATTGAGCAGCAACCAAACACATTGGAGGAGTTTGGGGGATTGCCTCCACATGATAGAAGTTGTAGTTCACCCTGCATCAAGTCAGAGCACTGTGGCCCTCACTGACAATGGACCTGGACCACATTTGGCACACAGGACCCACATGGGGGGGGGGGATTTATAGCCATTGTAGGTACTGGTATTTATAATTCATTTGCAATCAACAAGCACTTTAGACCCCACCAACCATGGCCCTGGATCTAACTTTGCACACAGAACCCCATGACCAAAAAAAAAAATAAAAATCCAAAATCCAAGGGGAGGAAAATAGACCTTTGTAAAATGTTTGAACAGTTGCTGTAGAATCATAAAGAGTTGGAAGGGACCCCAAGGGCCATTCAGTCTAATCCAGTGTTTCTCAACCTGGGGGTCAGGACCCCTGAGGGGGTCGTGAAGGGGTGTCAGAGGGGTCGCCAAAGACCATCAGAAAACACAGTATTTTCTGTTGGACATGGGGGTTCTGTGTGGGAAGTTTGGCCCAATTCTATTATTGGTGGGGTTCAGAACACTCCTTGATTGTACGTGAACTATAAATCCCAGTATCTACAACTCCCAAATGTCAAAGTCTATTTTCCCAAAACCCCATCAGTGTTCACATTTGGGCATATTGAGTATCCATGCCAAGTTTGGTCCAGATCCATCATTGTTTGAGCCCACAGTGCTCTCTGGATGTAGGTGAACTACAACTCCCAAACTCAAGGTCAATGCCCACCAAACCCTTCCAGTATTTTCTGTTGATCATGGGAGTTCTCTGTGCCAACTTTGGTTCAATTCCATTGTTGGTGGGGTTCAGAATGCTCTTTGTTTACATGTTAACTATAAATCCCAGCAACTACAACTCCCAAATGACAAAATCAATTCCCCCGCCAACCCCACCAGTATTCAAATTTGGGCATACCGGGTATTTGTGCCAAATTAGCTCCAGTGAATGAAAATACATCCTGCAGATCATTATTTACATGGCGATTCATAATGTTAGGGTTATGGTTGGGGGTCACCACAACATGAGGAACTGTATTAAGGGGTCGCGGCATTAGGAAGGTTGAGAACCACTGGTCTAACCCCATTCAGGCAGGCAGGGGGGAAAACATACTCTACGTGGGGCTGCAATGCACTCTACGTGGGGCTGTCTTTGAAGACTGCCCAGGAGCTTCAACTTGTCCAACTGTCAACAGCCAGGTTGCTCATCGGAGCGGCATACAGGGAGCACACAACTCCTCTGTTATGCCAGTTCCACTGGTTGCTTCTGAGAACAATTCAAAGTGCTGGTTTTAACCTTTAAAGCCCTAAACCAGGGGTCCACAAACTTTTTAAACAGAGGGCCAGGTCACAGTCCCTCAAAGTGTTGGAGGGACAGATTATATTTAAAAATAAAACCATGAATTCCTATGCACGCTGCACATATCTTATTTGTAGTGTAAAAAACATTTTAAAAATACAATAATTAAAACGAGAAACGATGTTAACAATATAAACTTATTAGTATTTCAATGGGAAATGTGGGCCTCCTTTTGGCTGATGAGATAGGATTGTTGTTGTTATGTGCTTTCAAGTCGTTTCAGACTTAGGTTGACCCTAAGTGAGGGCCAGGTAAATGACCTTGGAGCGTGGCATCCGGCCCCCAGGCCTTAATTTGAGGACCCCTGCCCTAAACGGTTCTGGCCCAGACTACTTGTCCAAACGTATCTCCTGCTATGAACCATTTTGTCTGTTTGTTTGCTCTGTTCTGTTTGAAATGTAATATAATTGACTGGTTGCCCTGACACGACAAATAAATAAAAACCATCACGAAGCTTAAGATCTTCAGGAGAGGCCCTGCTCTCGATCCCACCACCGTCGCAAACGCAGTTGGTGGGGACGTGAGACAGGGCCTTCTCGGCAGTGGCCCCCATCTGTTGAACTCTCTCCCCAGGGACATCAGGTTGGCCACCTCCCTCCTGTCCTTTAGAAGAAAATTGAAGACTTGGCTTTGGGACCAGGCGTTTGATTAGTGGGTAGCGGCAATTGGAAAGAAGAACTGGATACTACAACATTGATTTACTACTAATAATAAACTTTATTTATACCCCGCCACCATCTCCCCCAAGGGGAATTCAGGGCGGCTTACATGAGGCCAAGCCCAAACAGCAAATTAATCTCCAGACTTGGATTTGGTTTTAACTGGCGTGACTAGTTTACTGTTTTAATGAAGTGTTTTAAGTTTTCATATATATATATATCTATATATATAAAAATGCTCTGTGCATAATGAGTACCTTAAAAACAAAAGAACCAATGAATGAAATCACACCAAATTTGGCAACAAAATGTCTCACAACACAAGGAGTGACCATCACTCAAAAAATTATGATTTTGTCATTTGGGAGTTGTAGTTGCTGGGATTTATAGTTCACCTACAATCAAAGAGCATTCTGAACCCCACCAACGTCAGAATCGGGGCAAACTTCCCACACAAAACCCCTGTGACCAACAGAAAATACTTAAGGCCATCCAGTCCAACTCCCTTCATCAGGGCAAGAATACGTAATCAAAGTCCTCCTGTCAAAGAGCCATCCAGCCATAGATAGATAGATATGATTCACAGACAGAGAGATATAGTATCATAGTATATAGTTTCATAGATTTGAAAGAAACCCCTAAAGAAGAACAATTATATGTCGCATGTTCCAGAGTAGGCAAACCAGACAATCACCACATCAACACTGACACAGAAACAACAAGGAACACTGTTTACCCACAAACATACATATACATATATTAGAAACCATTACTTTATTTTCCAGATCACCAGACTGGGCCACAGCAACGCGTGGCAAGGGACGGCTAGTTATTTATATGTTGATAGCATCGTATGGAGCTTATGTGAGGCCGCCCTGAGTCCCGTCTTGGGGGGAAAAGGGAGGGGTAAAAGTATATGAAATAAATAACAGCACACTCAAAGCAACCCCGACAGATGGCCACGCAGCCTCTGTTTAAAAGCCTCCAAAGAAGGCGCCTCCCCCGCACTCCCAGGCGGCGAGTTCCACCGTTGAGCAGTCCTTCCAGGTGTGGAAGTTCCTCCTCGTGTTCTGAGGGCTCTGCCTTCCTCTGAGGCTGAGAGAGTGGGGGGTGTGTATCTTTATTTCACACTAGCTTGGGGACCCGGCTAATAAACAGCCTACTAAACCGCCCCTTTTGGGTTAGTTAGCGGGGTCTCCCGAGGGGAGAGGATTCCCTCGCGAGGGAGGGAGACACGAATAACTCCTTCCACGCGGAGGCGGCCGTGCGTGACTCACCCCGAGGTCAAATCCTGCTGGACGCTCAGGAGGCGCTCGCGCAGGCTCTCGAACATCGTGGCCCCGGCGCGCGCCAAGGCTGACTCGCAGCAGCGGCAACAACAAGCACCTCCACCTCCTGGAAGACTCAAGAGTTCACTGCCGCAGCCTCAAGAAGAAGCACGAGACACAGGCGAAGGGGCGGGGCTTAAAGACATACACACATACACACACAAAAAACGACCCTGCGCGCGCGCCGCGGAAAAGAGGCGGGAGGGGGCAGCCCTAACCCTCGGCAATTGCTTTCACGCGCCTGACGCCTGTCACCCGGCGCCCCGCCCATCCGGCTCGGCCAATCAGATCCAAGAATCCGCAGGAACCTAGACATAATCAAAACTTAATAGAGTATAACCAAGATAGGGATCTTCCGAGTTTTTTCTTACTACACCAATGAACGCCCTCCGTACGTTTTGGACTTCAACTCCCAGAAGCCTCAGCAGTTTTCTCCAATCAACAGGGATTCTGGGAGCTGAAGTCCAACATCACTAGGAGATTTATTTATTTGCAATATTTGTATACCGCTTTTCTCACCCCAAGGGGGACTCAAAGCGGTTTACATATAAGTAATGGCAAAATTTAATGCCAGTACAATTACAATTATACACTACCGTTAGACGTAAATCAAATTAAAACAATACATCCATAAGCAATATTAAAACCATAAAATAGTATCGTTCGTCAAATCACCGTTCCAGTCATTGTCTTTCCGAAATGCTGCATACATTTACTTCTACTGCCCGAAGGCCTGGTCCCAAAACCATGATTTTAATTTTTTTCTAAAAGCCAGGAGGGAGGGAGCGGATCTTACCTCATTTGGGAGTATGTTCCATAGGCGGGGGGCCACAGCCAAGAAGGCCCTGTCTGTCGTCCCCGCCAGGCACATCTGTGCTGTTGACGGGAGCGAGAGCAGGGCCTCCACGGATGATCTTAGATTACAAGGTGGGGCGTAGGGGTGGATGCATTCGGACAAGTAAGTTGGGCCAGAACCGTATAGACTAGAGTTTCTGGTTAAATTCGTTCTCAACCTGTAGATCCCCAGATGTTTTGGCTTTCAACTTTCAGAAATCCTAGCAGCTGGTTTGGTTTGTGTGTGTGTGTGTCAGGAGCGACTTAAGAAACTGCAAGTCGCTTCTGATGTGAGAGAATTGGCCATCTGCAAGGGGGGAAGGATATTAGTATTTTGACCACATCATGAGAAGACAGGAAAGCTTAGAGAAGACAATAATGCTGGGGGAAATGGAAAGAAAAAGGGAGAGGGGCTGACCAAGGACAAGATGGATGGATAATAATAATAATAATAATAATAATAATAATAATAATAATACTATAACTTTATTTTTATACCCCGCCAACTATTTATTTATTTATTATTGAAAACATTTATATTCCACCCTTCTCACCCCGAAGGGGACTCAGGGCGGAACACAGCATATACACGGCAAACATTCAATGCCGAGACACAAATTCACATATAATACATAAACATTAAAAAACATTTATCAAAATATTAAAACACACCATTTAAAACCGTCCTAGTCAGCCACATCAAATCTCGTATTTTGGCATGGTCATCTCCCCTTGTCCCTTGTAAGCGGGGCAGCTTACAAGGGACAAGCCCAAAATTACAATTAAAAACACACAAGTAAAACACTTTAAACCAATTAAAACATCAGATAAAACAAATACAACACAATTAAAAGTAATATAAAAACAATATGGCTGAAAGAAACATAGCTGGATGGTATCCTTGAAGTGACTGGCTTGACCTTGAAGGAGCTGGGGGTGGTGACGGCCAACAGGGAGCTCTGCCGTGGGCTGGTCCAAGAGTCAGAAGCGACTGAACGAATGAACAACAACAACAAAGAACGTTGCCCAGGGGATGCCCGGATGTTTTGACCATCCTTGTGGGAGGCTTCTCTCATGTCCCCACACAGGGAGCTGGAGCTGACAAAAGGAGCTCATCCATGCTCTCCCTGGATTTGAACCTATGACCTGCTGGTCTTCACTCCTGCCAGCACAAGGGTTTAACCCATTGTGCCACCGCTGGTAAACTGACTGGGATTCCTGGGAGTTGTAGGCCAAGACACCTGGGGACCAACAGGTTGAGAACCACTGATCGTGTTACCCAGCCAGTTTTAAGCATGCATTTTAAACTTATGTCCTGTGTTTTAATCTCTACCCTATTTAATATGTATTTTATAGAAATACAGTTTGATATGTATCTTTTTGGAGCCCCCGATGGCACAGGGGGTTAAACCGCTGAGCTGCTGAACTTGCTGATGGAAAGGTCGGCAGTTTGAATCTGGGGAGGGAGTGAGCTCCCACTGTTAGCCCCAGCTTCTGCCAACCTAGCAGTTTGAAAACATGCAAATGTGAGTAGGTCAATAGGTACCACTCCGATGGGAAGGTAACAACGCTGCATGCAGTCATGCCAGCCACATGACCTTGGAGGCATCTACGGACGACATAGGCTCTTCGGCTTAGAAATGGAGATGAGCACCACCGCCCAAAGTAGGACACCACTAGACTTAATGTCAATGGGACACCTTTACCTTTTACTTATGTATATTTCATAAGAATACATTTTAATATGCGTGTTTATAGAGTTTTTGCAATGTGTTGTCAAAGGCTTTCATGACCGGAATAATAATAATAATACTTTATTTCTGTCCCGTCCTCTCTCCCCAGGGGCCTCAGAGCAACTTACAACATAAAGCGGCAAACATTCAATGCCACAAAGTGCAGGAAAACAATAAACAATCATAAACAGTTGAGAATATATTCAACTGCAAATATCAAATAATAATAGAATCACTAGGTTGCTGTGAGTTAACACCTCCCAAAGGATTCCTCCGGGCACAACAGCCAGGCTACCTCTATGCAAATACTCTCAAATTGACTTTGCAGCTGCAAGTCTACTCAATGCTAATCAAGCTTGCTAATTGCAACATTCCCATTTGCTTTAACAGACAAGGGTCCTTTCTCCCACCCCAGACATTCCACAGGTATAAATAATTGTCTCACCTCCAACAGAGCGCTGAACATGCTGGCGAAACATCAGAAGCGAATGCTACTGGAATATGACCATACAGCCTGAAAAACTCACAGCAACCCAAGTTTTGCAATGTTTGTGTGTTTTGACAGTGCTGTGGACCGCCTTGAGCCCCAAGGAGAGGCAGGTAGGAAATAAAATTATTATTATTCTCATTAAGTTGGGGGAAAATGTGTGGTTTTTTGGACACCTCAGCTTCCAGAAATCTCAGCTGCCTTGATTAATGGTCAGAGATTCCTGGAGTCCAAGCAGCTGGCAGACCAGAGTTTGGGAATCACTGATATACAGTGTAAGGTTGTTGCAGTCTGACACCTCGCTGCCCTTAAATTGCATAAATGCAGGACTTATTGATTGAAGACACATTATGGATCTAAATTTGGCCTGATTTGTGAGAAAGGGAGCTTTTGAAAAGTAGCACCATGGTAGTTTTGCTTCTCTACAATTTCCTAAGTCTATGAATTGGTGTAGGGAAACTCCTGCCTTGTCATGCGCACAATCTCTCAATGATGTCAGAAGAAGGGCTTCCTCTAATTGCCTCGCAAAGGTTCCCTTACTGGAAATGCTTGGGAACAGAAGTATTTTCGTTTTCAAATGTTTAAAATATGCGCATATGCATAACAGGATATCTTGGAACTGGAGCCAAAGTCTAAACACGACATTCATGTTATGGTTCCGACACACTTTGTATACTCAGCCTACATAAAAGTGTATACAATTTGTTAAAATTTTGTGCATGAACCATTAGAAAACAAAGATGCCACTACGTCAGCTACCCATAGGGACAATTTTGGAATATTTCAGGTTTTGAATTTCCAGACAAGGGATGCTCAACCTGTATTGGAATGAGAGAAAAACATTATAAGCAGAAGCTATTATGCACACCTTATTCAAAGGTTAAGGAACATTGGTGCATTACTGATAACATTGTTCCTATATTACTGCAATTAGCTAATATAAACATCATTTTTCACATGAAGTTTGTCTTCCTTCTCTTTGATATTTAAATGAAAAGTCTAATTTGCCCTGCAGATTAGTTTTTCAGAGGTCCTTCTTGGTGTCTAAGTAACAGAGATAAACCAGACAAGATGACCAGTTTAAGGCCTCATCTCTACTGCCATTATATTGTTGTTGTTTTGTTTATTTATACCCTGCTTTTCTCTCCACAAGGAGGCCCACTGACTCAGAGGTCAGTGTAAACTCATACAATGCACTTAAACTGCATTGAATTTCATTATATGAGTCTGTATTGACCATATAATCCTGTTTCAAACTGCATTATAAGGCAGTGTAGATGGTGCTTAGTCTTTCTTATATTGTTGTGATAGGATGAGATACAGTACAATCAGAGGCGGCCCTAGGTAATTTTCAACGGTAAGCAAACAGTATTTTGGCGCCCCCCCCCCCCAACCAATCATTGATATATATTTTCTGTTTATCGTGGGAGTTCTGTGTGCCATATTTGGTTCAATTCCATCATTGGTGGAGTTCAGAATGCTCTTTGATTGTAGGTGAACTATACATCCCAGTAACTACACTTGCCGCACTTGCTCCCTTGCCTGGCCCGCTTTGGGTCCGGAGGCGTGCCTGAAGACCCCGGCGTGTGCACCAAAAGTCACCTCTTCTCCTGACTTTCTCCTCAGCCATTGGGACTGAGAGAGAGAGAGAGAGAGAGAGGTGGAGATGCCCACCTTTCCTGAAGGTAGGCGCAAAAACAAAGGAGGGAGCGGAGGTGGGAGATACCTCCAGCCGGAGGGGCTCTCTCTCTCTTGGTCCCAATGGTTGAAGAGAAAGTCAGGAGAAGAGGCGACTTTTGGTGCGCACGCTGGGGTCTTCAGACACGCTTCCGGACCTGAAGCGGGCCAGGCGCAGCGGCTTCACCCCGTGGCCCACCCGCAGATTGGGGGGAGGAGAGGAGGCGGGTGGAGCGCCGGGGGATCGGTCATGGGGAAGGAATCGAACGCGGAGAACGATTGAGCGTCGGCTCTACTTGCGCACCCGGTGGCCGGGTGGAGCAGAAACGAGAGGGGCTAGGCGAGGCTCAAGGGCCCGGCCCCTTTGGGAAGAGGATCGCCCGGCAGCGAGGCAAGAAAGCCGAGGCTCCCCCAGACTGCTAGGGCTGT